ATCCCACTTTCAAATAACTGCCTTAGCACTTCAGATTTAAAGTAGTGTGCTAAATATATTAATACATTTGAAGAGTTATTCTGTGTATCACTACATGATCCTACCATAAAAAACTACTTCATTTAGATATTGAGAGTGGGTGCTGCCCTTCGTCTCCTCTTGTGAAAGATGCTCCCTCCCTGTCCCCTCTCTGCCCTTCCTTGTGCCTTTTTGGAGGATGAAAACGGAAGTGGCACTATATCCACAGAGCACACAGGGGCTTCCTAAAAATCCTTCTACCCCCCAGCATGCAGCACTCCACCTTCTCCTTGCTCAATAATAGGCAACTGTTATTTGGCTCCACCCTGCACTGGAATTTCCCACAGATTCTTAGCAATTAAGGCACATGTAAATAAAGGAGTGCAAACCCCTAACCACTACTGAAGAAAAAGGGTGAGTGTATGAGGTGGCACAAGACAAACATCTAAGGGTGACTAAGAAGATACAGAAAATCTCAGGAGGTAGGAACTTCAGAGAGAAGATGCAGGGAAAATGGTAGGAGCACTGCAAATGGAAATACAGCTACAGGGTAAAAAGGCAAGGGACATTGCAGTGAGAAGAGAATGGCAGATGATTGAAGAATATACAGAAGGAGAATGCTAACCTAAACTGGAAAATCATAAAAACCTGAAAAATATGAAATAAACCTTGCATTTACTAAAATTAAAATTATAAGATCAAAATAAAAAGGGTGCAAAAAAGATGTGCAAAAACTTGGTCTTGGAGTTCATACACCACAAGCATTTTTGGAAATATTTTAACAATGTAACTGTAAATGCACTTTTCAGATCACTGTTCTTCAGTATCACACCTACTATGTGAGAATGTGTGTGTAGAGATAATGTCCAGTATAGTAACTATTGTAAAGATGAGCCATCTAAATCATGAAAAGCCATGAATTTACAATCATTACATCCTTCCTACATTTCTCATTCCTTTCTTTTTTATGAAATGGAGACATCCATTAAGCTCAAAATTGAGGAAAATTGAGCTGAATCTGTCTGGAATGACTCCTAACACCATGTAGTTCAATAGTCAGCAAGACATTAAGTGGGGCTTTTTTTAGAGTTTCCATAGATAGCCAGCTCAGATTCAGAAAGGTCTGAACACCCCAAATTCATATGAAGTCAGTAAGAAGAGTGTCTATTTAAGTTGCTCTCCATATCTTCCCCCTTTATCTTGTATCAGAACTTCCTCTATTGTTAAAAACAATCTCCAGCCAAAAATTAAGGTTTTTTTTTCCTGAGTTATAATAACTAAATAACTTTGTATTATTGACATAGACATTTCAAAAGACAAGAAGAATCATTATGATGTCTCCAGTGATGGTTATTGATGACAGTCTCTTGAAGCTGTAACATTGTTCTTAATTTCTTTGCTCTCAGTAATTTATCTGTTGGGGATTTTTTTCTGGCATCTGTTACTACTTAAGCTTCTGAAAGCACAGCTAAAAGAGCATAACAGAATCTTAAGATGTCATCAGCTTGGCTGTAACACTGGATCTCAGGACAGGTTACTGATTTCAAACAGTACTTATATTGCAATCAGCAATGGAAATAATTTGAAACTGCTCTGCCTACACAAGCAGAATGATTCCCCCTGAGGTTAAGGGAAAGGTTCCCACTGACTTCAACAGGCTTGGATTAAGCTGTGAATAAGGATCTGAACAGGGTAAATACTGGTGACAGAATCTGGGGCTCTGCCAGATAAACACAGAAAGAGATGGGGAATTTCAGAATGCTTTGTTCCTGGAAGAGAGGAGACTTTCTATCCTTTGTTTTTTAGCTCTAATTAACACCGTCCAAAAAAAAAGGTCAGGAGAAAAGAAACAGGAGAAAAGACTGAATTTTCTTTTGCCCTCAAATGTTAAAGAGAATGTGAGTACACTTGTGAGAAATGTTTTGTTTTAAACACTCTTTACTAAAAGTGACAACAATCAAAATATAAGAAGGTATGACGTAGTCAGTGGTGTTAGAACCCATGGACAATTCTTATAAAAAAGGTTTTGGGTTGTATGAGAGATTGTACACTGGAGAATTCCATTCCCCATCAGCATCTAGTCTGTACATGTTTGGAAATATTCTGACAATAAGTTCTGGGACATCCTCTTCGATACAATAAGCAACATTACCCCTCCTTTTTATCCAGTTTGGGAATATTAAGGGCCAAGGAATATCCCTTTATTGAATGCTTCATTTTAATGAGATTAGAGTAAGACACCCTTCTAAAAGCTGATTTTGTGTGGGGGCACATAAAAAAATTGCAATTTATACTGACTAATGCTTCTCTTAATTTTCCATTGGTTTTCATCTTTTTGAATAATCTAATTGTTAATATTTTATGAATTATACTAGCTTAAAAAATTGTTACAAAGCACCTTGAAAGCAATTTCTATACTAGACCAGAATTAAACACACTGACTTATTTTCAAAAACATGGCGATGTGGGGACATGGTCTAGTGATGGGCATGGCTGTGCTGGTTTAACAGCTGACTTGATCTTAGAGGTCTTTTCCAACCAAAATGATTTTATGATTCTTTAGGTTGTCTATGTATTGAAACCATTATATTAGGAACTCCAAGCTCTTAAATATTGTATTCTTTAGACCATCAGTGAATTTTTGTCTTCAACCATTTTCTGCTCAAGCAATTTGCAGTAAAAACCAGCAAATGTGGCCACTGTATTAAATTTAAATTTATTATATTAATGTGACATACTGCTGTTTTTAAGAACTAACAAATATATAAATTTTGCCAGAAAACCAGGTTTCAACAAGAATTGGTACAGGGAAGCACGTTCCTATTGTTCAAGACTGTGAATTTTCAGTGCAGAGGAAGACATTTGTCCTTTTCAGAGCCAGAAAGCACATTCATCTTTCCCAGTGTCGGCAAATACATGCAATTTACACATTACTGTCTCAGCTTCTGAAAAAAATTTGGCCCTTGAGGCTTTCTTCTTCAGAAAATACAGTTAAGCTTTCCACTAACTTTTTTTTTTTTTTTCTTTTTAATATGGTGGGAATAACTTAAAAGCAGATAGGAACCACAATTTAAAAATCCCTTGACTGTAACCCTGTCACCACATCCCAAGACTTAGCAGGAAAATAATTTGGTAATACAGTAGGGTTGCCTTATCATGGCATGCCTAAAAAAGGTCTCTACAATTAGATTATTAAAGCTGGGGCCAAATTCAGTTCAATTTTAATTAATAATGCAGAAGTTGTTGCAGGTAAGTTGGATGCAAGTTTTTGTATTCTAATTGATGAAATGAGCCTTGATGACACTGAAGGTTCTCCGATTTGGGTTTTTTTTAGCATGGAATAAGTTTTTACTTTAAATGCATAGTAGATTTGCCTGAGCAAATGCCTGAGCTTTTGGGTTTATTTTCTCTTGAGGTAATAGCTCTTGGCAACTCACCAAGCCTTTTCTATTTGCTTTGCATAAGAAACAGCAAGACCATATGAGTATTCTATGTGTGTGTGTATAGGATATATCTGAATATATTTTGTTCATAAAACACATTTTCTCTGAGGAGAAACTCATTTGTACTAACTACTCACACAAATATATATATACATAATATATATATATATATGTGTGTGTGTGTGAGTAATAATTAATAATAATTACTTAATCCTTTTTCTGCATAGGGACTGAAAGAAACTGAGAACTCATAGATGCACACTATAAAAATAGTGCTGTATTCTAATAATTATGAGGAAAAACAATCATCTTGTTAATGTGGGTTGCTCAAGTAAAATATTACCTTAACAAAGGAGCTAAGAATCCACTGTGTCTGTAAAGATATAAATGCATTCTAGTTTATTATTTTAGTTCTAGCTTATGATGGAATTACTCATTTAAATTACAGATGTAATAAAAACTAGTCTTGCACAGCCCAGTCAATAAAATCACCAAGACAACTGTTAAAATACAGAATCCAAGTGAGAGTAATATTGTCTAACCAATAATCTATGTTCCCTCAGTTAATGGTTTATCTATGTATCTCTCCTTGTATTTCAAGCTGCCTGAACCATGGAAAATGTAGATTTTAATAATTCTTATCATAGCCATGAAGCACTAAAATTTCAAAATTGTCTTCTGTTTGACAGATGCAGGACTCGCTCCCCATGGTGTTGATACCCAACAATGAGAGAAATTACCTGGAAAATTTCTGATACCTACATTGGTAGGTAGTATGGTCTTATTTCCAACACTTCTCTTCACAAAACGTCTTCCTCCCATGACCCTCACTGTGCTGTGGAGACCCCAGTCCTGAAGCCTCCTTTACATCCCAATTAACAGCACTCTTCCCTGCAGTGCCTAGGGCAATGCAGCCTTAAATCCTCTCTTTTTTTCCCATTCTGCTTTCCTCTTTGTTGGAGCAAATGATTTCCCATACTGTTTTTTTTCAGACACCAGCATCTCTTTTCCTTCACACACTTTCTGTCCCAGCCTGCCTCACTGCCTCCTCAAACTCCGCAGGTAGATCTGTTAAACGCAGGAGGCAAGCTGGCAGAAGCCAGCTGAAAGAAAGACAGCTGACAGAACTTAACCAGTCTGTGGGCTGTTCTTAGAGGAGCTGTAGGAATCTGGTTTATTAAACCCACATTGACAACCCTTCATTCTGGCTCTGAATGAAACCTGTGGGGTAACCTATTTCACGCCAATGCAAGGGAGCATTCAGCACCCATACTCAGACATTTAAGAGCAGTAGGTGCTGGGCAAAGAAGGAACAGAGAAAGAAATAGAAGGGGATGTTGCCTGGGACATGGCTGGAGATACACTCTTGGGAGGAAGGGCTCCAGCAACGAAGTAGTTATGGCTTTGAAGGATTTCAGCTATGGGCAACCTATGTCAGAGCAGGGACACACCAGAAGGACTCGCACTGGGGCAGAGGACAGCAGGTGGAGTAGAGAAAAAAGAGTAAACAAGGAGTGTCAGAAAGTAACCATTATTCACCAGTGCCGATTTCATACAGTGCTTTGTTGTAGAGTCTGGGACAGTATCAGGTGGTCAAAATGAGGACAGTTGAAACCAGGAAGAGTAGAGAAATTATATTTGACTGAAGGTAAACCTAGGAAAGGGGAAGGAAAATCAATTGTTAAATCAATTATTAGAAGCTTATGTTGACAAGCAATAAAAAAAAAAAAAAAAAAAAAGAATCATTGAATGATTTGAGTTGGAAGAGACCTTAAAGAGCATGTAGTTCCAGCCCTGTTGCTATGGGTAGGAACACCTTCAACTAGATCAAGTTGCTCAAAACTCCATGTAGCCTGACCTTGGATACTTTGAGGGATGGGACATCCACAGCTTCTCTGGGCAACCTGGCCCAGTGCCTCACCATTCTTAAAGTAAAGAATTTCTTCCAAATATCTAACTTAAATCTGCCTGCTTTCAGTTTAAAGCCATCACCCCTTGTCCTATGCTCTTGTAAAACTTTCTCCATCTGGCTTTTAGGTATTTGAAGGTTGCTGTAAGGCCTCCCCAGAGCCTTCTCCAGGCAGAACAATCTCAACTCTCTCAGCGCTGAGCACCTTCATAGGAGAGGTTCTTCAGCTCCTTGGCTATCTTCATTGTGCTCCTTAGACCTGTGTCAACAGGTCCATGTTCTCCTTATGTTGAGGACCCCAGAGCTGGATGCAGCACTGCAGATGGGGTCTCACCAGAGCAGAACAGAGGAGCAGAATCCTCTCCCTCACTCTGCTGGCCACACTGCTTTGGATGCAGCCCAGGACACAATTGGTTTTCTGGGCTGCAAGTGCCCATTGCCGGGTCACATTGAGCTTCTCATCCACCAACAAAGCCCTTCTCAGAGAGGTTTTCAATTTGACACTGTTTTGTCTGCAACAGCTTTGGAGTCCCCTTGTTTTATTTACCAGCCACTGTAAGCACTTTATTCCATCTTACCCTTCTACTTCTCATATGCAAGAATGTTCCTCCCTATTTCAAAATAAGCCCAAGCATTTTTCAAAAAGTTTCAGGTACAATTGTGAGCTTCACTAAATCTACTAAATAGAAATTCCAGCAGCGGCTAAATCACTGCTGATTTTGTTAACTGTGTGCATGCCACTAATAAACATGTTGAATTTCACATACTGAGAAAACACGGACAAAACCTTATTCCATGCAAACTGAGGCTTATTTTTATGAAAAGCCAGTTACATTTATATGTACACATATATAAAAACATCTAAACCCAAATTCCTATTATGCAACTGGCATTATCATGTTTATTGGCCATTTTTCAAAATAATGAGAAGCATTTTTATCCAGTATGGCACTTTAATATAACATGGTGAAATGTGAAGAGAATAATGAAATTCAGTACTAAAGAATTTGACATATAACTCTTGACATACCCTGTTATGAACTTTAAGATAGGAAAGTGCAATTTCCCTGTGTAAACTTATTTTAGGCTTAATCTAATCAGAATGATCGTAAACCAGTGATTCACAAGTTATGTGTGTACACCCTTATGATTATATTGTTCTTAGTCATGGAGTTTATTGTTCTTAGAGTCACATAGTTCCTTTTACTCCAGGAGAAACTATTCTAAAGTAGTTGATAGTCTATGGTTTGCCCGTATTTCTTCAGAAGATCCTTTCAGTAGCCAGGGCAGTTTATGTTGTCTGCACAGAAACAGAGTAGACTTCCCTTAAATGGCCATCAAATGACTGAAGGAAAACCTTCTTGTAATGGTTGTCATGACCATTTATAATATTTGTTAGTTTTTCATCCACTTCTACTTTTTCCTTTAAAGAATGACCAAAAAAGAGAATAAATCACAACTTAATTCAATCACAGCAAGCAAAGGATGGAAACAGACCCCGCAGAATTGTTGTAGTTCTTTTCTCTCTTAAGAATGATACTGGCATCTAAACAAGGAAAATTTGAGGAGGAGAAAGAATCTGGCTTTCATTTTTTGGAGGTATAACAGTATGTCTACAGAGACAATAATACATCCATCTCCACAATGGCTTTGGCAGTCATCCTTTGGTCTCAATTTCCTGTTACACAGTTTCAAAATTCAAGGTACAAATGCTCTCTCTTCCTCTTTCAATCTCCCTTCCCCTCTTCCTGCCCAAAGAATGAATGAAGTTTCAGCCTTCAGGAACCCTATTCCCTGAAACAAGTTATGCATCATTCAGACCGGGCTCTCCTGGCTTCTTTCCCCTCACTGCTCCTAGGAATCCAAATGGTTTTCTGAGCTATTCTGTCACGATCAAACCCACTTGTTTTCACATTAGCACAGCATCAGTTCACTTTGATGCCAAGGAGGTTTTTATCCTATCCTTTATGGAATTATATCCACCTTCCTGACTAGAGTCTGCTGCTGCAATGACATGAGGCAAGGGCTGCAACAGAGCTTAACTCTTCACCTTACCTCTCCTTCTGATACCGAATCTCACTACCTCCTTCAGTTGGAATGTATATTGCTTAATCTTTCTCTCTAAAAAAAATGCCTTTGAACATGCTGGTTGTAGGTTCTTCACTGCATGCAGCAGTCCTGCCACATTTACTGAAAGCTGCATAGGACAATAGCTGTTAGATTCCATTACAGGATCTCAAGACAGCCCAAACCTTTGTGGTGGATCTGGGAGTGAGTGTACTGAACATCCCAATAAGACCTTTTACCCATAGTGGCATTCACAAACACAGTCTATGACCTGGTGACTCTGAAGACAGGTTGTTGGATCTTGTAGATAAATTAGAAAAAGACTAAAGCATTTGAAAATTCTTTGCCCTTACTAAGGTTGTTTGCCTTGAGCAATCGTGCAACCTTCAATTTCTTCCTCCAGGTTTTCAGGCCTGAGACAGTCTGGTCAAGACAAGAAGTTAAGATGGTCTCTTTTCTGCCTTTGAGCTGCAGCCCCCTGAAGAAACCCCATGGCACAAAGCACTCTTGAGAAATCAGAGCAGCTTTCTTTTACATATGCATCTGTATGATCAAAAATTCAGATTTTTTTTTGTTTTCAGTATCTGAAAGCATTAGTGGGACACTGTCTTTACTCTCCACAGATCTTTCCAGGAGAGTGGAATGGCAGACATTTGCATACAATCTTCCACTCTGTGGTTCAAGAAATTAGAGCTATTTTTTTTCAATGAAAGTCTGTATTACCCTTCCTTCTAGGCTAAAATATTGGTATTGTCTTTCTCTTGAGATAAATTTTCTTGACTGTTGCTCCAGTTTAGGTGACTTGCGGAAGAGCTTCTAAAACTTTTGGGCTTCCTTCCAAAATCTTTTTTACTTTGTCAGATGACAAACTAGGACATGGGAACGGAAAATTTACTTGACTTTATCCTGTCAGTGTAAGAAATTGTGTTTTTGGTTTTTTCTGTTGTGTGCCAAGATTCTGCCTTCTATCTGGATGTATTTGTCAGCTGGACCCAAAGTTTACAACACAATCCTCCCCTCATTATGAGTGACAAAATGCATCTGAGTGTGGTAGGGATGAGCATTTCTATCTTGTCTTTTACCAGACATATCAGCAAGAACTCTCCCTCCACCTTTAATTGGAAATAAATTAATGGTATAGTGGAGAAATATCTCAGGTTTCCATTATGCAAAGTGGTAGCCTGTTAATAATCAGGTTTCCAGCTGAAGGATGGTAGAACCAACACGCAAACGCTTAGAGACTACATTTTCCCACAGAGCAGATATACATCTAATAAAATGTGTGAAATACAGCAAGGATGAGATAGGAAGGTTTGCCTTGAGGCCTTTTTGAGGACTATACATTTGTAACACAAATAGTTTTCTCTGCAATAAATGTAAATACCACTGAAAGACAGGGTGAGAATATGCCAGAATAAACCTAATTGTTTTTGATAGATACTTCCAGACTGTTTAGTCTCTTCTGCGTTGTATTTCCAGCACACTTCTGGTAAGTTAAAGTCCTCAACTACCCCTCTGTTCATAAAATTAAAAAAAAAAAAAGCCAATATATTACTGTTCAGATTTAGAATTTAAGTTTTTAATTCTCCCCTAAAATGGCCCTATGTGATGGGCCATTTTTAATTTACCAACATTACAGAGTCATGTGAAACAATTGATAAAGTGTACTTCACTAGTCAAGAATCAAGCTTCTAAAGGTATTTCACTTTGCAATAGATTCAAATATATTTGTCAAATATAACTTTTGCAAGTAAGTAGCTATAATTTTCTGTCCATGTTTGGAGCCTCCCTTGACTTTCTTTCTCCTCATTGATCCAAGTCAATCCTTTCTCTTATTTGTGCTTCTTTCCCTGTTGCACATGAGAATTTTTCCACGACTGGGAATGCCTGGTGCAGTCTATTTCATAGATGCATGTACTGCTTGGCTTCCATTAGAAAAATAATTTATGGAGGATAGAGCAATATTTAATTATGTTATTGATTTAATTGCACTCCACTGGACACATGGGATCCACGTGCACATCTCGGTTTTCATTTAGTTCTTTGTTTTATTGTAAAAGACATTTATCTGGCTAGATGCAACTATCAATCTATATACCAGTTCATTTATTTGGTAGCTGCAAATTTAAAATACTACACAGTATTATTCATTAAGATTTGATGGAAAAAAAAGAGGGAAATTAAATATAAGGATAATTCCAGAAGTAAAGAACACTCAAAAGGAGGAGAAAAAAAAAGAAAAAAAGATTGTTGCATGTCCTCAACTGAGACAACAGGTGAATCATACCCTAGCACACACCTGCTAATGCTGAAATAGTGTACATCCACCTGGAGGGAAGGCTCCCTCCAGATGTTAGTAAAAAAGCTTATTGTTGCTCCTAAAAGGTTATTGATGTAACTGCTTACATAGTTTTATCAAAACCAGAAATTGTACGCAGATGACACTAAGGTGTCACTGAATGCTATTATCAAATACTATCTGAACTACACAAATCAGCTACTGAATTACTGGATTTGATGTAGCAAGTAGTCAATAAATTCCAGAGCCAGGACAACAGATACACTGGTGTGTGTATCCTCCCAATATTAAATTGTATGTAAAGCAAGAATACTTGAAAGAGAAGGCTGTGCTATTGTCTGTCATTAACAAGGCTATGATTGTTAGAGACCTCAGCACT